TGTGTCAGGGCCGCTTCGTCATCTTCCTAGAGAATCTAGCGGCCGGATGCGACACGGGGGCGCCGCTCTTCTGCGTGGGGCTCGACGCACCGGCCTCGACGATGTCTCAGCGTGGGGCGGAGCCGGTGTGGAGGACGCAGGAGGGCGCCCACGGCGACAAGCAGGCTGAGACACGGCCCGCGACGGAACGGTGACAGCTGGAGGATCACGTCGGTGCAAGATGTGATGTACGGCCTCAGTCTGCTTGTTGTACTGCTGAGAACTGATGGGCACAGCCCTCGACAGCGTCGCCGCACAGGCCAGCCTGGGAGATGGGAGCGTCAAGAAAGCGCACTTTGTCAACGTCTCTCATCTTGACCAGGCTGAGCCAGAGATGGCACTCCTGGACCACTAGAGTGGACATCGCCTTCCCGAGGGACCACGTCGTGACTTCCGTCGCCCAGAGGGCGAAGTCAGTCGCCGTACGCAGCTCCTGCATCAACCTCGGGCCGGTACTACCCTCGTGCATTTGTTAAGGCCTTGGCTTGGTGAGCTTGCAGGATTGCCATGGCATGCAGGGCAGAGGCAGCTTGGCCCGCAGCACTGTAAGCTTTGGCAGCGAGAGCCGCCGACAGCTTATAGGCTTTGGACGGGAGACGCGGACAATTCCTCCAAGTGGCGGTGTTTTGCGGGCACAGGTGCACCGCAATCGCTCTCTCCACCTGGGGAATGTCGACGCACCCCCAGCCACCCCGCCATCGAGGGTAGTGAGGATGGAGGAAGGAGACGACTGGCTTCTGGCCGTAAAAGGGGCCGTCCACGACTACATCACTTCCTCATGCACCTACAGCCCCGCCGAATCTTCATCCTCAGAGATCAACAGCCCATCCCCCGATGCTGCAATGGACATCTGATCCCCTGGCGGCACACCGAATGACATGCTGGGACCGCCGTAAGACAGCCCAGCAGAATCACCCAGCAGCCGCACAGGACAAGCGCTGCGGAAGGGGTGAGAGGTCTGTGGGGCGTGGCCCGGCGGAGAAGCTCTCACTGTCACCCTCAAATCTCCCAGAGCACTAGCCGGTGGTCCTCTGCTCGTGGCAGAGAAACCGGGACGGGTAGTGACAGTGGGGTCTGCTCCTTTCCCTTTAAGAACAAAGAGACGCGATCGCAGCATTGCCATGGTCATGCACTCGCAGTGCGGGCATGGACCATCCACGAACGCGTTTTCAGCATGCTGAATGCCCAGACACGGAAGACAACGCTCGTGGCCGCATCCAGAAGGACACGGACGAAATGGCATCTTTAAAAAGACGCGAATCGTCCGTGATTTGCTCTTTTAGGAAATCTGCTCTTTTAGTTGAAGCGCCCAGGGGAATCGCTGAAAGGGACACCGCTGTTTGCGCCATACCGCCAACCAGAACAGCTTCCCGACACACAGCAGACGAATGGCTTTGTGGAGTACAACAGCTTTTCATACAACCACTCGGCTCCGAAGCAAAAATCTGAAGAGTGGATGCACCTGTCGCCTATTTATATCCGTATGCACGGGGAGTGGCTCAGGTATGCAAAATCCACTAGCCAATTTTCATTGGCGTTTTCTCTTAAACTCAGAGATGATTGGCCTCCCAAGTGAGACCCCATATGTCGCTCGACATAACTCGTAGTGACCGACAGATAGGGAACACTTAATTCAAAGTGTTTAACATAATCTAAATTCATCTCGTGGTTTGATATGAAATGTGACTGTAAATTCATTTGCAGCATTTTAAAGAATTATAGATTTTCCCAACATGAAGGATGTTCCAAAAGGTAAGCTTCCATAATTATGCTATATTTTAAGATAGCTTTATTTTAATTACATTTAAATACATTTGTCTGTATCACATATACAGATATAATTTTTTTTTGGGTGGCAAATTCTTCTGATTGTCACCAAGACTTAACCCAGAATTTATTTAGCTGGCTAACATTTAGATTTTGTCATTTTTGTAAAAATGACTTATGAGAGTCTAGAAAGCATTAGCAAGGATGTGTTGTAAAAACTACAAATCAATCTGCGATGTTTTGCACCCAATGCCTTTGTGTCCAGCAAAAACATTTATGAAGTCACATACAGTAATATCTGTATCATTTCCAGATTGTTGCATTTTTTTTCTTTTTGTAAAGAATAATTAATAAATAAAATCTATGAAAATATAAATAAAAAAGTAAATAAAATTTACTAAAAAAAATTATGACAAATTTTTTTTAAGGAAAACCTTTTTATAAGGAAAACGTTTTTATTTCAGAAACATTTCTAGCAAATAAAAAATGCATTTCCAAAAAAATATCTATCTATCTATCTATCTATCTATCTATATATATATATATATATATATATATATATTTAGGGCTGTCAATAGATTAAAATGTTTTATCTAATTAATCACACCGTTTTTCTGTGATTAATCCCGATCATGAAATTAAGCATAGACCATATCTTGTTTCAAATGTTTATTTTGTCATCATTTGATATATCCAGCAAAGTAAACCAAAAGATTGAAGGGTGATTCTCAAAAATCTATTTTCAAGATAAATTTAGATGTCTTTCCAAAAAAGTACTCCAAAAGGACACCAAAGAACCAAATGATATAAGGAGCCCATATAAGCACATATGAAAGAAAAAAATGCTAATAAAAAAAAAAAATTCTGAATTGTATTGTATGTGTACAGTGCAACAGCAAAGAGCTTTTTTACATTTTAGAGAAGTCAAGTTGCGATACCGAACAGGACCACATGGAGATGCCAAAAAACCCTAAACCAACCGCCTGCTGACTGCATATATCTACTACAGTACACGGATCCATTCAGAATAACTAAACAGCAACATACACATGACGAATCAAAACATTATCGTGAATGTGTGGAAACAGCGTGAATATATATAAAACTGAATAAATGTCTGTGCATGTGCATAAATACAATGTGTGATCAGTGCGTCAAGAGCACTCATACACGCATTAATATAACGGACTCACGCATGCTTACTGTACGACTCCTGTATGCCACCGCAATCGTCTTTACCTTGATTGCGGTCTTCATCCATCAAAACTACTAGCGAGACTGGTTATCCAATCGAGAAAACGTAGTTTGCGTCTCATTTGGCCATACAGCGGTGGGATGTGTTGACAATCCGTTCAGTACTGTACGTGTCAGGGCTCGTGCTTGTCAGAGACAATCACAGAATATGACAGAGTCACTGCGAGTACCCATAGAGCACAAAGTACCCATAGACTTGTTTTTCATTCAATACAATATTTAATTATATTGTGCAAAAGATATTTGCGTAATCTAATTAAATATGGACTATTTCATCAATATTAGTCTATGCCATGCTTTTTAAGCTTTTTGTCTAACAGCAAACAGTTGAAAACAATGTAAAGCTCTGAAGACTAGATTCCACATCTAGTTTCACATCTATTCCACATTGCAGCATAATTCTATATTATAAAATTCACTTAAAGTTTACCAAAAGTCAAAACAGAACCATCACAAACTCTTCCTTTCCACTGCACAAAGAGCATAAATGAATGCTTAAAAAAACACTAGCAAAATCAGCCTAGCCTACCATAATTTATTATAAATTCTGGTAGGATGCCTACATGTCAAAGGTATGATGGGACTATGGCTGTTCCTCCGAAATACGGTAAGGTAAATATTTTATGACAAACAACTTGCAGGTCAACCATGGACATGGCCTTAAGCAGGGCATGCTGAAAGAGTGTGGCTTATTGATGTGAAAGGGGTCTCCAGCTATAAATCATAGATGAGGCAGGTGGGGCAGTGGACAGACACAGCTCACAGTTTCAGCATGAATTGATGCAGAGGTTCCAGAGACTGTGCAAACAGGAAGACAGCACACTCTGATAGACACGACTGAGATTATCGGCCTGCAGACCGGAAGAAGATCAGAAGTTTTCTGATGGACCAGCCCTCCAGATTCAGCTAAGAGATGAAACACTTTTTCTTCTCCACTGTCCTATTATGATGTATTATTTTTGCTAAAAATGAATATGCAGGTGGATAATGCTGCCAGGCTTTGGGTGTTTGTGTGGCGGGTGTAATTGCCAGACTGAACCACCTCCTGCTATTGGTAACAACAGCGGGTCACTTTGCTGTTTTTGGCGTGTCAGCAGGCAGCGCTGAATTGAGCATAATGGGCTCTGGTTGGTGCCTCATCGGTATTCATTGAAGAAAGTGCATGTCTGTTAGATGCCTCTGGTTGAGAGACCTTTAAGCGACTGTCTTAAAGCCACTGAATTCTTTAGAGGGCATTCAAGGACACTATGGACTGGCAGATGGAAATTATATTCCTGACTTCCTGTGTCCCCAGAGTACACAAAGCCATGTATATAATTTCCTTCACATCCTTCCTATGTGAATTGCTACACAGTATTGTACTGGAATAAGAAGAAATCAAATAATTCTTCTTAAAACCTACTAATTCTGTGAAATAAGTTGTAATATATATCTGCAGTAATTTGTTTCACTAAGTAGCTTATGATAAAAATGTACTGCATTTTCTGCACTAGTACAATGCAAACTGTGAACAAGAATACAGCATAACAAAGCATATAAAGATTTAATACTGAATCATAAATGATTAATAAATGCCATACAGTACAGTAAATGCACCAAAATCAAATTCCCACAGAATTGTCTATTAGCACCACCTAGTGGCTGAACTGAGGCAATACAGTTTTTAAAAAATAATTCCATTTGACTTTCTAAGGGTTTGAGTTATTCAACTCTTAAACGTTAAAAGATCAGGGAAATAGAGAAAATATTCTATGGATACTATACAAACATAAACCTATGCACTTGTCTTACAATCAAACTCACAAATAAAATTTATAGTTAATAAAGTAAAACAAAAAACTTTTTTTATTTTTATTTATTTTTTATTTTGTTTTTAGGATTTGAGGTTACAGGTTAATCCAAACCTGGAGGGAGTTTGCAACGGAACAGAGAGCACTTACCAAAGACTTTACCCAGGAAGAGTGACTTGACCAGGGTGAACTGCGTGTCTGAGGCTTCAGGCAGGGTGTAGCTGACGGGAGGATAATGATCCAGCTAAAAGAGAGACACAGAAACTAAATTACATACAAATGTCTGTTGCTGGTGATCAAGTACAAAATGCCCATGCAATTAATATTTCTCTAAAGTGGTCAATGGTGCCATCTACTGGCTAAATATTTAACCACTGACCATACAGTCAAAGCACCATGCCATTTACATTTCACTCAGTAACCTCTTAACAACTGTTACCTCTTAAAAAGAGGAAGTGTTTTGATTTGTTACATTCCAAAAATGTATAAATTTTATATAAAGTACTATGTAAAACTGATATAAAACATAATTGAAATATAAAACGAAGCATTATAACAATTACTTTAAAGTATACTTTGTAATGTATTTTAATAATAATACTAATATTAATAATATTTTCAGTGTATTTAATAATACATACTGCTTTTAGACATATAATTTACTTTTATTTTGAATATATAGTAAAATAAAATGCATAATATAGGTAATTTTATTATTATTAACATATATTTTGAACATTTGCTTCCATGTGTTCCAAGTTCAGGGTTCGAACCAGCATTAGATTCGTATTCGTGTATTTTTATATATAGATTCATAAACAGTCACTTTCATTTATACATTTACACTTGTCAAACAAAGCAGCTTAATTAATTGTCATTTTAGTATTATTTACATACCATTATAGTTTTTATTAACATTTTGAATGAGCAATTATTTATAATATTTATATTATTTATATTTTTGGTTTTTATTTTGATTATTAGTTGTTTTTTTGTCATTTTGTTATGTACTTTTGTATGTATTTTTATTTGTTTATTTTTTAATGTTACTATTTATTTTTATTTCTGTTTCAGTTTTAGATTTAGTTCAGATTTATTTATTTGTTTATTTTCAGTTAAGAATTTCAGTGTTTCAAGTTATTATCTAATATTTATATTTTATTTTGTTTCAGCTTTATTTCAATTAACAAAAAAAATCTAATAGTTTTAGGTTTCGTGAACGCTAACCTAACCCTGGCTTGATATAATTTTAAAAATATTATTCTTTTTTTTAGTCCAAAGATCATGTTGATATGCAGTAAGGCGGCAACTGTTGAATGCAACCACACACACACACATTTGGTGACAGCTTTAATTACCCCCTTACTGCTGATTCACTGGCACTCCTAATTAGCATGAGGCATCTCAGCCTCGGTATTAAAAATAATTATTTCCGCTAAATTACTTTTTTGTGCTTGAAGATACGGCGGCTCTCTCAGTCTCCTCTGTGTTGTGAAAGTGGCGCTCTCATCACTGCGCACTGCCGTGAATACAAATTAGCTTCACAGAAAGAAATGGAGACTCCAACACAATAGCGTTTGTCTGACATATTTCAGCTCTAATTTGTTCCACTGATGTGGCGGACTGATAAATGCAAGCATGTTTATTCAGATGCCTCCCAAGTGCGCTTGTGCCGAGTAAATCAAACAGGGGAAGCCCTCCCTCACCGCTACCAGCAGTCTGCAGACCTTATCCAATTACATTGCCGAATCTCAGAAGACCTCGTGGGCTTGTGTTTCTGCCGCTACTAATGGAGGAGGGTGTGTTGCCATTTGTCGACGGGATAATGTGACCAAATTAAATTGCTTTCAACCTGTTTACCTCTGAAACTAATGGGCAGCAGGGATGGAGGGATGACACAGAGAGAGAGGAACTGTCCCTCATGGTGCTGCAGCCTCATTCTGACGCGGCTAGAGCTAATGAGCCCTGCTGTGAGCCTATAATTAATCTCCATTCAACAAGCCTTCTATCTGACAGGGCCCCTCCTGCACTGCAGCCACCCAGAGAGGGGACACTCTGCCTGGGAGGTGATAGCCAGATCTCCCTGGGGCATCCGTTGCTCTGACAGCACAAGCTGAGTTATAGCTGCAACCCCACTGAGAGAATAATTTAGAAAGTTACAGCGAATAAATACAGGAGATAGAAGAAAAAGGAATAAAAAGATGGAAAAGAGAGTGGGAGTTAATAGACACGAGTCGTTATAAGAAATGAGTTTTGGAAAGGTGCATTTTTAGGTACATTTGAAACATTTCAATCACTGCTGTTATAATTATGTTATAATTATATTACAATCAACCAAATGAACAACAACAAAAAAGATAATTAAAAAAGAAAAATTAAACCGTAAACCCTGTTTTTTCTCTCTCCTGAAAACAAGGAGAAAAACAAGAGAACTAAACAATAAATGATAGTTCTGTCATGACAACTCTCGGAGGGATTGGCATGGTAATGTACATGACATTGTTAATGTATTTGGTCTTGGCGGAATAAATCTGCTACGCTGCAGCTGCTGCGACAGAGCAAGTACCGAGACTTGCTACTGCCAATACATCCACAACATGCTGCTGTAAGCATGTAAGAAATACTGCTGCTGCACACATAACACATATGAATAACCCCCATATAGCATACATGAATCACCTCGTAGCAGATCTGTACAGGTGGAGCTGGGGAAGGTGGACAAAACACAAAACAAATGATTATCAATTTGTCTAAAAAACATAGTAGGCTTGCTATAATTATTCATAACTGCCAATTTGACAGAAATGGTGTTTACAGAATAATGTTTTAGTGGAAAAATATTAGTAATTTTCACTTAGTTTTTTCACTAATCTCATAGTTTTGGTTAGAATACATCACATCAGGTCAGATGGAGGTCATCGGGTCATCAGATCTGAGGTATTTTAACACATCCAAAGCTCAAATGGGATACAACAATTCCACATATTGGAACTCTACACAGCTGCTGTACTACTCTCCAGTGGAAATGAATGATTTCTGGTCTGTTGCTTGTCGGAGATGGTGAAAAGGTGGCTTAATGCACTGATAAAAACAGTGCAAGGTCCACCACATTACTTTGATAGACAGTTGACTTGATAGTGGGAACCCCAAAAGTATTCATTAATCTAAATGAATAATACATCCCTAAATGGAAGAGCGCTCTGCTGTTTGCCGTTGGGTTTAAAAAAATCTTCAAAAACTTCTAAAAGATCAAGTACATCTGTTTGCTTTTCCCACATGGTTGTTCTCTTAGTTATGTTTTGACCTTTCACTGTCTGATTCAAAAAGGGTGTGATGTTTCACTCAAAAGAAATATCACAGGCGTGGGTGTCTGGAAAGGTCAGATGGACTGATGTTACTGTCTCTCATCTCATATTCCTTTTGAAGCAAGCTCTTTTCTCTTCTGGAAAATGCACAGGTGGGCAAAACCCGCATCACCGAAATCTAAAATGCAAAATCAGAATCTGATTCCCCAATAATTCACAAATAATTTAGCACAATCTTTGACTGTTTTGGTGAATAAATACTCTGTGTGATCAGGTCTGTAATAGACTATTTATTTTTATTATCTTACATATAATTTAAAACTGCAACGTAAACAATATCATTTCAATTAGAACTTTAAGTAAGCATATTTAATATAATATGAAAAAATAATATAACTCACATATATATATATAACACATATTTCACTGTCCATCCCGGAATTATGACAGTGGATAAATGCAAGGATGAGTGTTGCTGATCAACCTGTGACGTATCATTTACAGTATGAGAGGTTCCAGGTTCTAATCTCTGATATCATTTTTGATTTCAATAAACCAAAATTGCATCTGTTGTGCATCTGCATAAGCAGATATATATCAGGAGTGGGGATGCAAACAAATTTTGTTTTGTAATTCACTAGAATGAATAGCGAGCTGTGGAGAAGTTATAGATTAAAATGCGTCATGCTGGAGAGAACACTGTCACGGCCACTTTCTACTGATGAAAAACAACATGACCAATCAGCATAAAGAAATCACAAGTTCCAGTGGCAGATCATCATTCATTATAAAGCATGTTAATGAGATGAAAACTTGCATTTGACAAATGGAGATGTTTCTTCTGTATTAGATACAACCCTGCCACAAGCTATTTCATAAAGTGGAAGGGACAAAATTGGCCCTACTGTCCCTGCCTTTAAATGATGTCTATTGAATAGTAGTATCCTGCAGTGTATTTTAGTTCATTGAGATACTAATTATAGTTTTTATCAATATTTTGAATCAGTTTTTATTTATATTTTATATTTTATTTATATTATATTATTTATATTTTTCTGTTTTAATTTTCATTTTAAAAGCTTTAGTAATTTATTTATTATTATTATTTTTTTTCATTTTTAGTATTTGGGGTCAGTGAGATTTAAAAAAAAAATTATTTAATATTTTTATTCAGCATTTATGCATTAACGTTGATCAAAAAGACAGTTTAAACCATTAATAATGTTACAAAAGATTTCTGTTTCAAATAAATGCTGTTCTTTGGAACTTTCTATTCCTCAAAGAATGCTGAAAAAAAATGTATCATGGTTTCCACAAAAATATTAAGCAGCACAGCTGTTTTCAACACTGAGAATAATAAGAAATGTGATATTTATAATATTTCACAATATTACTGTTTTTTTAATATATATATATTTTAATCAAATAAATGCAACCTTGGTGAGCATAAGCGACTTTTTAAAACAAAAAAACAAAACAAAACAAAAAAAATCTTACGACCCCCAAATTCTTGAAAGTTATATACAGTACATATATCTAAATTTACATGTCTACGTGATCTACCTTAGGAGTACCTGCTTGATTGCCATGCAGTGTGCGTGTGTGTCTGGGTGAGTAGTGCTAAAGGACACTCAACACAGTTTTACACACAACAAAATAAAGGAGAGTTACCCCAGTGTCATAAACACACACACACACACACACACACAAACCCCTCACACACATAGGTCATTGTCTGAAGGATGGCTCTGGGTTTCTATTTGCTGCAATGTCAGCGGGGTTCCCAGGGGCCATAAAGACGGTAAAAGGGCTATGGTTTTCTCTTTCTATCTCTATATATTTCACCCCATGCCAGATTTCCAGCTCTGGCCTATAGGATCTTGGGCTTGGCAGAGATGTGTTGCAAGAAATGAAATAAGGCAGAATTAAAGAGAGCTACAGCCCTTTTTTAAGCCTTATGCCCACAGGCTTATCTGTGCTGTGCCTCATCCATCCAGACAGCGGGAATTTGATTATTTGATTTAGGAGCCCGGAACAGAGAAAGAGCCAAAGACAAAGACTGACCAGAAAGAGAGAGAGAGGGAAAAGCAACAAGACAACAAAGCCCACAAATTTGCTGACAAGGTCACAGTATATCTGACATGATCTTTGCACCTCTGTCATTCAATATTATTCTCTTGGGACATGTGTTACAGTGATGGTGAAGGGTGAGGAGGGTCCCGGCCAGCACATACAAGCCTTTGACATAGTTTTGAAAGTCCCTGACCCATCTGTAGTTAGTTTTCATCACCTGTCCTCAAATACAACTTGTTATTACCACACTTTTCACTGATCCTGGGTGGTAGAGCTCATGCTTCTGTGATCTTGATCACTGCTTTATCATGTTGCTGAATCCCCTGCTTATCGACCACACGAGATGCTGTGTGTCCTGCCATTTAGGACACAAGAAAATCTACAGTTCACCCTGAGTCTCAGTTCAGAGATCAATATGGGCTTTCAATTATCCTGCTTCTGTACTGCAGCTGGGCCTCTGAGACTAAAGCAGTGCATCCTGGGTAACAGACACGGCACACATCCACTCACATACTCACATATTTGACACATTCTGTACATTCTGTTGCAAAACAAAGAAAGCTGCCTTTGTATCTTGAAAAATACTTGCTTTTGACTAAAATTGAAGACAGCATCACATGTAACTTTCATGGATCAAAATGCAATGATGGCAGTATGGAGCTATATATGGAGCTAAATGTTATATTTAACTTGTTTTTTTTATTTTTATTAAATATATAGTACTCTATTGTTAATGTATTATTTTTATTTAATTGGATTAATTTAATACAGAAAAGTATATAATTTCTTGATATAGGTCCTAATTCAAAATGGGCACTCTTACATAATATATGTATATACACTACCGTTCAAACGTTTGGGATCAGTACGATTTGTAATGTTTTTAATGGAGTCTCTTATGCTCATCAAGGCTGTATTTATTTGATCAAAAATACAGAAAAAACAGTAATATTGTGAAGTATTATTGCAATTTCTAATATTGGTTTCCTATTTTAATATACTTTAAAATATAATTTATTTCTGTGACACAGTGCTGAATTTTCATCAGCCATTACTCTAGTCTTCAGTGTCACATGATCCTTCAGAAATCATTCTAATATGCTGATTTATTCTCTGTTGAAACTGTTGTGCTGCTTAATATTTTTCTGGAACCTGTGATACTTTTTTCTTTGATTCTTTGATTCTTTGATGAACAAAAAGTTAAAAAGAACAGCTTTGCATCACAGGAATAAATTACATTTTAAAGTATATTAAAATAGAAACTGTTATTTTAAATTGCAATAATATTTCACAAAATAACAGTGTTTTTTCTGTATTTTTGGTCAAATAAATACAGCCTTGATGAGCACAAGAAACTTCGGTAAAAAATATGAAAAATCTTACTGATCCAAAACGGTAGTGTATCTTTACACATCTTTTTCATTTTATTATAATGAAAATAATTTTATTATTTAGATTTTTTGGGGGGGAAATTATCAATAAAATACTGTTCCATAATGTAGTTTCTAATTAAAAATGGGCACTTTTACTCAATATATGTAATAATTAATAATAAAACATTATTGTTATTACTAATATTATTATTATTATTATTAGTAATAAAATGAAACAAAAATAACAAAAATATATAAAGATAAATAAAAATTAAATTACATTAATTAAGTATCAATAGAATTTTCCCCGTAATATAATCCCTAATTCAAAATCAGCACTTTTACCTAATAGCTATATACTGTATTTTTTATAAGCTATACATTTGTTTAATGATTATTACAGTAATATATAAAACAGTTTATTTTATTATAAATAATTTCATTCTATAATGAATATAATATTATTATAACAAACATAATATCATAAATAATTTATTTAAAACATTGGCACTTTCAGTATAGCAACATGCTACTGTCCGCCTTTACTGTAAAATTAATTGTGAGCTTTAGTAGATTTTTTTGGGCAATTCACATACAAATTTATTTGTATGGCACAGATAACAACCTGCTAACAAAGTAGTTGCCCATGAAGAGTATTTCAAATCAGTCCCTTATGAGGTTTTATTTCGGTTAAAATACTGCCTTAGAAGTGAGAAAGCTAACTACCATATTATTGAATAAGTATTATAATACTTTCGACCAATGTTTCTGATTGTAATATTGAGAGTGGTCAGTTTCATGTGTTTCCCACCTGCACTTCTATGTCTCTCTCCACCCGCGAGATGTTGACGGTGTGGGGCTGCCCATTGGCCAAGTTCCTCTGGTCAATGTCGATACTGAAGGGTTCTCTGAGACCACCCAAGCTGTACCGCAGCTGCAGGGAACCTGAGTAAAACAGGGTGAGACATAAAGATCACATTTACCCAGAACTCAACCGCACTGCACTCTTCCTGGATGCAGAATGCCTGAGCGAGTGAGAATTGTGCATCAGTTCTGCACCCTGACATCACTCACCTCTACTGCACACTCCTGTACAACGGCCCTACAAGCTGCAGGGAAGAATATTACCTCATTTGGGTTACAGCTCAGGCCAGCAAGATAAATTTGCTCAGAGACTACAGAGTAAAATTCGATGTGGGCTTAGGCAGCTTAATTCAAAGAATAAGTATCACCAGTCTTGTGTGCCCACTTTAGGTTTTATGGAGTTTATGGTGTTTAACGAAAACGCCACTCTACAAATTAAACAACGGTACATCTGAGTCACTGTGTTTAATGTGAAACCCTGTCCCTGAAGGGAATAAGGGTCATTTTCTTTAAACACCAGATGCGTTTTACTATTAAACTCAAAAAAAAAGAAAAAAAAGGATCACAGTGTTGTGCTTATGCCAAACAAACAGGAATGTAATTGCCTGCGCTCCGCCATTTGTCATATAATTAGCTTTTACTGTTGTACTTCCACTTTAAAAAGCAATTCAGCCTGCAGCAATACATTTTCCTTTATTATTACAGTGCAGTTTCAAAACTGCTGCAGAACAATCATTCAGACACACACAGATGTGTGTATTGCATCAGCATCCGGACTTAATGATGAACGAAGACTAACCAGGTGCGATGCGATAGGTTCGCAATTTGTCTGCATACTGAAAGCAACAATGCTGTGCGAGGCGGCACAATAAAAGCTAATCAGAACATATTTGATGTTCAGTGTTGGGCAGTAATTAAGTAAGTAAAGTACTTAGTAATGCGTTACTGTAATTTGATTACTTTTTTAGTAATGGAGTAATTTAACACGTTATAATTTTCAAAATAGTAATTAGAGTATAGTTACAAGCCGAGGTCTCGTATACGTTACTGCCGGCCGACATTGCTGACAGAATGCAGTGTTTTATAATCTAGAGATCTAAAAAGGATGTAGCACACGCACTGTCGAGTCAAGTGCCAGTATTCGATTCATTATGCATATATTTATTGTGTTATAACAGAGATTTGTGAGATTGCGATGAACTGAGATGTCTTTTAGAGATTATAAATGCAGCGCTCTTTGCTGGCATTCTGCCATGCCAAACCATGCACGCAGCAGCCGCTTGCTTTAGTTAAAAATAACAGTGTTCTGTGAATGTTGATGCTTTAATAACAAATATTTATCGGGAGCATGTATGCTGGGATTTCATAAATTTAATGGAGAAAAAAGTAACGTAACTAGTAATGTAACTAATTACTTTTGAAATAAAGTAATCAGAACAGTAACGTGATTACTTTTAAAAGGAGTAATCAGTAATCGGTAATTTGATTACATTTTCAGAGTAACTTGCCCAACACTGTTGATGTTAAATACATAGATTGGACAAATGAGATTTTAACCGTTCATCTCACACCATGGTCCCCCAACAGACATTTTACTGACTTTACAAGTACATTCCATTATTCTGCTAACTCTAACCCTATATCTACTGTATATACACAGAAGCCTCATTAGCGGTTGTTTCTATAGACCAATTTCGGTGTTTGCAAACAGTGATGATGTTTTTTGTGGGCGGAGCCTATCTGGTGGCAGAAAATGACAGTTTTAAAGTAGCAGTCTATGGAAGCCATGGAATAAAAGAATAAAAAAAAGATAATTTTGAGTGTATATTTCAAAATTCTGACTTTTTTTCTCGCAATTTCGAGATTATATCTCACAATTCTGATAAGAAAAATCAACTCGTCATTCTCTCTTTTCCCCTCGGCTAAGAATCATTCATTTATAATCCCACACTTCTGGCTTTTTTCCCCCTCAGAATTGACAAACTCGCAATTGTTGAATTAAATTGAGTTATAAAATCCAAACTAGGAGACATACACTTGCATTTGAGAGAAAAAAAGTCAGAATTGTGAGATAAAATAGGTACATGTTATAGGTTTAAATAGTAGGCTATTTCATGCTGTAACTGCAGGGCTAATACAATATGTTCCCTATGAACTGCATATGTGAATATTATGCAGACCTACTGTTTAAATCAAATTTATGCTTTAAACGTAGGGTAGTCATAGCAGGTTTCATCTATAGTCTGTCGGTTTGAACTTCTGTGTTTAGCTTCAAATGGCGACAGTATTTTATAAAAATTATTTGATGACAGTATTCTATAAAAATGATTTGCATTACGATTCTAACATCCAAAGGCACAACGATACTTTTTTTGTCTTATTCCATGCAGTTTACACGTTTCCCTCCACCAGTGTTTTTCTGCCACCACAATGCGCGCAGAGCTGCAAGTGATGTAACTGTGACGTCTACTCCAAATTGGTCTATGGGCCTCTATACATAAGTCATCCGCCACATTTGAAACTTGATTTGACACTTGAGAGAAAGTTGACTATACGTCTGCAACCGTATACGCATGTATGAATATCTATTTTTGCAATAGAATTCAGGAGATGATTTTGCTAACATTGAAAAGTCACCACAGTTTAAAAATCTGTAATATTGACTTTAGTTTAAATCTTGCCAGTTTTTACAAACACATGCACAATGTTGTGGCATCTTGGAAAACTCACTCATTTTTAATGTGAGTGATGAAACGTCGACCGTTCAAAGATGGAGGAAGTGTTAACCTGTTTGGAGTGGTCGAATGTGGAATCTACATATTCTTTGGGGAACCCAAAATGTTTGTTCTTTGGAACTGCAATAAAAACCCTCTTTTTTGACTGAACAATATGTTACCATTTTGACGGAGCACCACGGCCATGTAATCCTGGGTTTTCGAGCTGACATAGACCAGAAGGCTGGGTGAAGTGGAGGTGCTGAAGCTGAAGGTCAGATCTTCACGTGTCAGGTTGGTCTCGACAGGAAGGTTGTGGATTACGCTCTTCTCATCCAGGCTGGAAGCTGCAGCGACCACTTCAGGTACCAGATTATACTTGACCAGTGTTCCTGCCTCAAAGTAACCACCAACATCTGGAAAAGAATGAGGTGTTTCTTCAAACAATACTGACTATTAGGTAACAGTCTTGATGGTCCTAGAACAACAATTTTAACAGTCGATCAGATTTGAGGGTTAGGTATAGTTAGGAATATGCCAGAGCAAAAACAATTATATATTGTACTGATACTTTTATGTACACTACTGTAAAAAAAATTTGGGGTTGGTAAATTTTGTAATGTTTTTTAAAAGTTTTTTTTAAACTCACAAAGGCTGCATTTGTTTGATCAGAAATATAGTAAAAACAGCACAGTATTACTGTAAAATATTATTACAATTTAAAATAACAGTTTTTCTATTTTAATATATTTTAATAAATAAGTGTAATTTATTCACGTGACGGCAAATCTGATTTTTTTTATAGCAGCCATAATGTCAGTCTTCTGTCACATGATCCTTCAGAAATTCTTTGAATATGCTGATTTGGTTTTCAAATAATTTCTGAACAATGTTGAAAATGGTTTGTGCTGCTTAATATTTTTGTGTAAACCATGATAAAAAAAAATCATGAAAGTTTTTTTTTATTTTTATAAAAGCATTTCTTTAAAATAGAAGTCTTTTGTGACTTTATAAATGCCTTAATTGTCACTTTTGATCATTTGAATGCATTCTCAATAAAAAAAAGAAAATTAATATTCCTTGTTGAAAACAAAAAATATTTAAATATATTATTATGTCTTACTGTCCCCCAACCTTTGAATTGTAGTGTATGTGTTGAATTAATAAAGAAGGTAATCTAAAACTAAGTGTAAACTCTGAAACCAGTGTTTCTTAGCCTGAAAAACTGATGCAAAATGCACAAATGAGATGAATCGTGACATGTATCGCAATATGAATTGTATTGTGAGGTAGCTGGTGATACCTAGTCCTAGTTAAAACTATGACTCTTTGATAGGAATGCTGTTTGAGGACCAATAAGAGATGATGAACCAGGAACACATCATACTTCGGGCAAAATCATGGCCACCATTCAATAAATGTGCACTGGGAATGTGTAAGTGATGTCTGACTTGGCCATCTGAAATAGAAGGGCAAGGAAACTGACATTACTGACATGTTTTGTATTCATGAGGGGCTTCTTCAACAGCTATAAACCAAGAGGACACTTTCCTATTACCTTTTTACTTGAGGGGGAGAACAAAAGTCCTTAGACGGATCGTTTAACCCAACTGCTAGGACGTGTACAAGTGTGCATGGATTTGTCTTACACAGAAGCAGTATAAACAACGCAGGATTTGTTGCATGGGTTAGAACAGGAAGAACCATGGGAAATCAAGATGGGTAATGAAGTAAATACACACAAGGGTAAAAAGAGAGTGAACGAACATTACAATGTGCACCCGCACAGAATATCTCATGTACACAGAGGATGAAGCGGGTTTATCTGTTATTCATGGCATTCTCTCATTCAGCCGTTTTACCCCCGGGAACAGAGTGCTAAGTACAAATGAGCTTTGTACAAATGCTGTATTGGGAGCAGGAAGGAAATCAGTGCAGGGACTATAGATTGGTTTAATTATTTGCTGCGAGGCCCTTGAGCAATCTTTACTTTTCTACCAGGCTGCAACACACAGTTCAGAGGCAACTGAGAAAGAACCACCATGTTTTAGTAGCATTGCGGGACAAAAGCCTCGACACAGCGGGAGCATGTAAGGCAGGGTAAGGATGGTACGGATATAAGGAATTACAGTTCTTGAGTACAAAAAAATCCCATCTGTGATGTGTTCTGAGTACCAACAACTTTACAGGCCCTGGATTGGATCATTTATCTACTGAACTACTACTACTTAGTCCCAATGAAAGTCTCGCAAAGTCACACCCTCCAAACCTGCATGAGTTTCTTTCTTCTGTTGAACACAAAGGAAGATATTTTGAAGAATACTGGTAACCAAACAGTTAACCACTGACTAGCCATTGACTTCCAATGTAGGGGGAAAAAAATACTATTTAAGTCAATGGCTGCCGTCAACTGCTTGGTTACCAACATTCTTCAAAAATATCTTCTTTTGTGTCCAACAGAAGAAAGAAACTCATACAGGTTTGGAACAAGTGCAGGGGTAGAAAATGATGACAGAATTTTCATTTTTGGGTGAACTATCCCTTTAAATGTTTAAGTTCAGGATCTTAATTTTCTATTAAAGCAAGTGATCTTTAAATTGTCAAATCTTTTTTTTTTTTTTTTGCATTGAGATATTTAAAATCTGGAGTGTTTTTTTGTAGGGATGCACCGATACCACTTTTTCCAGTACTCACCCGATACAATACTTTTATTTTTGGTACTTGCCGATACCGAGTACCGATACCAATATTTTTATTGCATTTGCAAATTTTTAAAATATTGGGTACAGAAACCAAAAGAGTATGTATGTTAGTTGGTTAACTTAATTTATCAAATAGATACAGTCAAAAAAAAATTATTCAGACACCTTCAACATTTCTCACATTATCACAGTTTATTCGCCATAGTTTAGAACATGGTAATAAAATATGACAAAAACTCAGAGTTTAACTGTGTCAGAACAAATTCAGCTTGATAATGTTAGATAACTTTGATAGAAAGGTATGTAATGGATTACAATCAACCAAAAATTATTCAGACAGTATGACAGTATTTACACAACTATCAATACTTAGTCGGGCAGCCCTTAGCCTTAATGACAGCCTGTAGTCTCCTGAGCATGCTGTCACCCAGCTTCATGCAAACCTGAACTTTTTTCTTTTCCCCAGACTCGGTCTGAATAATTTTTGGTCCCAAATTTGTATCCGTTTTACTGGTAGTCCACTGTATGAAGAATTTTTGGGTATAATTTATCACAGTTTACTTTATTAGATTTTTAATGTTTTTTTTAAAGAATTATCTTCTGCTCACCATGCCTGCATTTATTTGATCCAAAATACAGCAAAAGCAGTAATATTGTGAAATATTTTTAATATTTAAAATTATTGTTTTCTGTTTGAATATATTTTAAAATGTAATTTATTCCTGCGATTTCAAAGCTGAATTTTTTGCATCATTACTCCAGTTACATGATTCTTCAGAAATCATTCAAATATTCTGATTTGCTGCTCAAAAAACATTTATTATTATTATTACATTGAAAACAACAGTAGAATTTTTTTCAGGTTTCTTTGATGAATAGAAAGTTCAGAAGAACAGCATTTATCTGAAATAGAATTTTTTTGTAACATTATAAATGTCTTTATCGCCACCTTTGATCAATTTAAAGCATCCTTGCTATATAAAAGTATTAATTTCTATCATTTTCCAAAAAATAAATAAATAAAAAATTATACTGACTCCAAGCTGTTGAATGGTATATGTATAATGTTACGAAAGCTTTTTATTTCAGATAAATGCTGATCTTTGGATCTTTCTATTGGATCTTTCTTACTGTTCAAAACATTGTGACTGGTAGTGTATGTATGTAGCCTATGTATCACATCTTGTTTTGGATAAGAATAAAACGTCAGGTCCGACGTCAATATCGTGTCTTTTTTTCATTTAAATCTAGCTTTATTCGCATTGGCCCATGCATGGAAACCTCTACGAACTCTATGAAAATCGCGGGGGACGAATTTACGCTTTATTAAAAAGTGTTTATGTATTCTACACTCATGGCGCGCGCACACATTAGGATAGGTTAGATGCCTGCCTCCACGGCGAGTCCCTATCAAGCACTTTACCGATTCAACAACTCTCTTATTCTCCTCCTGCCTGGCTCTTTGGCCCGCATCACTCACCGCAGAGCAAGCCTGTTCTTGATAAAGCTGCTGTGAAAACGTGGGAAAAGCCGACGAGGAAGAAGTTGG